CCAAAGCTTGACAATCATTATTACCTCTTCATGGGTCGACATTTTATTCCATAACGTTACACAGTTTTGATGCTGTTTTATGTCTGATGATCGTGTTAGAATACATGTGGAAGCATCTGTTGTTTTGGTTTCTTCTTCACTTGTGGGTTTTTTTGGAAATTCTATACAGAAGATGTGTACTAGCGCCCCCTACCGTATAACAATAAAAACACGGATTCTCGGAGCACAAGTATAGCTCAAATATATTTAGACTTTTTCTAAGTATAAGTCAAGTATACTTAAATGTCATTTTAAGTATATTTCTGAGAAGTACATAAAGCCCTTGTCTGAGAAGTACATAAAATTAGACTGAAAGTATACTTTCCTATTTTTTAGTTTAAAAGAAGTATACTAATAGCACACTTGAATAAACTTCTTTTTCGTAAGGGTAGTGTTCCAGGTACAGCAGATACATCTATTTAGACTTTAACTTAACAGTCACACGATGTAAAATGAACAACGTAATAAGATTCTTTGTAAGGTGCAATGAAAAGAGGTCTTGTCATCTAGATGTTTCAAATTTGGTCTTCTCTGGAAGTGACATTTATATTAATAAAAAAAAATTTGTGATTAAAAAACAATGCAGATTTATTTTCACAGCCTTCTTTGATCATATTTACCAAGGGTGCCTGTAATTCTGACCATGACTGTATGTTCTTGATATTTAATTACTGATCTCTTTACAAATTAGAATAGTGAGAACACAAACAGCAGTTTTTGACAAGTAATTATTTTCTCTAAGGGTTGATCCTGATTTTCAGCACCTTTACAAAGTTGGTTCCTTGTATACTTTGACTCAGAATCTCAATGAAAACTACAATTCCGCAATGTTTGATTTCTGTCTCAGTGTCACAGAGCATGATCTGCATCAGTCCAGGAAACAGCCTGGAAGAGCAGAAGCAGCACATCCTTTTCTTTAGCACTGTTATTTCTGTTTCTGTTTTCTTTAAAGCTTCTTTGAAGTCATGTTTATTACAAAAAGCACTATACAAAAAAATTGCAGTTGAAATTAAATCTGTCTCCTTCACACACAATGATGTCATTTGAACAATCATGACATGGCACAGCTTATTACAGTGGGTTGATGCAAATGTTAAATATATTATTAATTAGAACCAATAAGAAATAGATGGCCATCTATACAGACTATTTTCTTCAGAAAATGTAACATCACATTTATCATTTTCCCTAGCTGTGATACTTCGACTTCAACAGAAGAAGAAGGAGTTCGAAAATATGTTTGTGTGTCTCCAGAAAAAGGATTGGGAAACACTTTACGGGACCGTCTGGGATGACCACAGATCAGGGTGAAGGGATAGCTCTGTTAGTGTGAAACTTCATAAGTGACTGAACATATGATCAAAACAAAGCAGTAAAATAGGATACAAAACATCATAAAACATTTGGATTGTACAGTCAGCTAATTTAATGATCAACAGAAGTGTGGTTAATTTTTATAGCTACATATGGATTTTAAAAGGTCTGAGATTCTGAACTCCCATTTCCGCATTTGTTATCTACAGTAAACAGATTATGTTTGCTATAAATACCATGTGCACATGTGTCTTCTTCTTAAGAGAATTCTAGAGTTTTCCTTCTGTTCACACATTCAACATGCTGGTGCAAAAGCTAAGCTGGATCATTTGTAAGTTTTGATTTAGAACCAATTCAGCATGATTGATTTCTAATTTTTTGTTTTTCATTTTGTTTCTATTTGATTTTGATTTTCAGTGCTGCTGTTTCTTTGTCAACATGGTAAGAATGGCAACTGACTGAATAATGCACATTCTCATTAAAGTCATAGGCGTAGCTTGACGTTTGAGTTTGGGATTATTATTTATCCACCAAAATGCAGATTCGTCACGTGACAATTCTTACGCAAATGAGATTGAGGGAGACGTTAAGTTTGTTTTGATTTATTAATTTACTTACAATAACAATTTAAAATGTATTAACTTTTACATGTATTATTAACTGCATTATATAAATTTTTTCTTCATAGAAAAAACTTTATAAATAAATATTTAGTAAAATTCTTAAATCGCTATGGGGGAGCCATGCCCCCCTGGCCCCCCCACAAGCTACGCCCATGATTAAAGTGTCGTTATTATGGGTTTATGAAAGGTTCATATTTTGGTTTTGGGAGTCCCCAACAACAGGTTTACATGCATGCAAGGTCAAAAAACACTTTCATTGTCTTATAATATGCATTTTTTTTAACCTTATTCTCTCAATGAAGAATGTTGATATTATACCCAGAGGAGACATGCCACACCTATTAGTGTTTTTTGTGCCAAAAAAAATAAATCTGCCTGAATTTGATAATCTGGGACAGGTCACTTTGTAATCTGGGACATATGTA